AAAATTTGGGGGAGGGGTGATGAGGCATCCTTTGAAACCAAAAAAAAAAAAAAAACAAAAAAAACTTTTTTCAAAGCAGGAAACAAATAGCCAGGCCTGTTGTTATAGTCCTAGAATCCCAGCTACTTGGGGAGCTGAGGCAGAATCACAGGTTCGAGGCCAGTCTGGGCAATTTAGTGACCACTTGTCCTCAATAAAAAGCAAAAAGAAGGGCTGAAGATGTAGTTCAGTTGGCAAAATTTTACCCAACACACGCAGGCCTTGGGTTGAAACCCCAGCACCACATAAACCAGTTATGAGGGTGGAGTCCTAGAATTGTTGAGCAGGGGAGGTCAGTAGAAAATAGAACATCTTTTATTTTCATTTTTTTGTTTGTTTCTTTGGTTTGGTTTTCCAGACAGGGTTCTCTGTATATAGCTTTGGAGCCTCTCCTGGGACTCTGTGTAGACCAGGCTGGCCCTGAACTCACGGAGACACACCTTTCTCTGCCTCCCAAGAGCTGGGATCAAAGGTGTCTGCCACCACTGCACATCTAGATCATCTGAAATTTTTTAAAGTTCTCTATTACGTGAAGTTCCAAGCCAGCCTGGGTGGCTGCCCTGCCTCAGAGAAAAAAAGAAAAAGAGTGAGTCCTCCTTGATACAGCTCATTGATTGAGCACTCATTTTGTGTAGGCTAGCTCCCAGCAAAGAAGAAAAAATCAGAAAGGAGAAGAAAAGATTAACGCATGAACTTTATTTCTTTTTAGACAAAATACAAACAACTGATGCACAAAATAAATCACAAGTTAAACCTCTGTAGAGGAGAGGGAGGGAATCTATACAGATACTCTGAAATGCATGTAACTTTTTTTTTTTGTGACTATACCATAGATCTTTAATTTTTATTTAGTCCATTCTTTATGGAAGCCACATACCTACTCACTTCTAGAATACTGTCATTGGAACTGTCAGCTCTTCGATTGGCAAGTTTGGGGTAATATTAAAGCATACCTCTCAAAATAACATTTCTATAAGAATAGGCTGCTGTCTAATGATTCGGGTTGACATCTTTTTTTTTTTTTTAGTTCTAGTTACCGCTTCAACTAAATTCCCGATTGCGGCTCAGTGTATATCTGTGGATGTCTGTCTCTGCTTCCTTCAGCCACTGGGTGTGGGCTCTAGGATGGCATAAAGAGAATGCATCAATCTCATTTTAGGGGGCGGGTTTTTAGGTTATCCTCTCCACCGTTGCCTGGATTGACAGATCGTGTCATCCTTGTAGATCTCTGGAGATG